GGGGTGGTCAATAAACCAGTTAACGGTTAATTGTGCGTTATTAATAATAGAAGACTGATAATAAAAATTCAATAAATGTGTCAAATAAATGATCTAATAAATAATAAATGATTTTTAAAATGATCATTTAATAAATAATCTATAAAAATGAGAAAAAAAAATAAAATAGTGATTCTACATTTTGAGTTATAAAATGTGCATACGCGCACCGTTCCTGATAATGCATTTGCAAGATTTCTAGCTACATTCGGAAGTGGACCCTTCAGAGCCAGCCCACCATCATTCTGCTCTTCTTTTTGATGCGTGTATCTCCAAATGGAAAAATTTAAATCTCGCACATCGTCCTCATTATGAATTAAAGTAGCAACATCCTTGATCTTTAAGCCCAATAAATCGGTGTCATCAATGCTCAATAAACAATCACCCGCTCTGATGGAGCATAATAAGAAAACAATTTATAATTATTTGTTTAATTACAATTTATAATTTATGTGAATTAAAAATATAAAATTATACGCAAAAGTATACTTGCGGTTTATAATATACTCAGTAGTTTTTAAACTCAAGTTAAACTCACCTTAATCCCGCTAAGTCGGCAGGACTATTATTCTCGACATAGCCGACCCACGGATAGGGATCCCATTTTGATTTGGTCAAATGAAATCCATAAGATTTACCATGTATATATGATTCCACATTGCCTTTCCGCATTTTAAGAACTATCTTTCCTGTCGAAAATATTAAATCTTCCTTGGGCAGAGACGTTACGATTTTTACGCCTGCCGCTTCCGTCAAGACTTCAGGATACGAGAAATAGGACATATTTCTTCGCATTTTATTAATATATTATTATTATTTTATTAATATTATTATATATCTGTATAAAGAGTAAAAGTTACTTTGCATAACATTCTACAATTTCACTTTTCAACCACATAAATTTTTCTTAACAACAGAGTATAACATTCGAATAAATATTCGCAATTTATTCATAGACTTTATCGCTCAACACGTGTTAATTCATTTTGATCTTCGAAGTACCTTGAGTAAGAGCAGTACTGCTGTGGAAGCACCGAGTCGCGTCTGATCTCTTAGCGAAAGAGAAAAGTCACTTGTTTACCTTCACCCATTTACACATTCTTGACATTGAATCTTACGTCATATCATGATGAGACACATGTCGTTTCCCATTTATTCTAATACATCGATGTTTCTTTCGGAAATAATATTTTCAATGAAAATTACATTTCGTTACAGCCATAAATTATATTCTAATTTATATAATATATACATACTTAGCAGTCTTTATAATATGGAAATGGAGTAATATTTTTAAGTTAAAATTCTTAATACTTTACAATGGCAAAAATTATATAATATCATATTAATTCGAGAGTGTATTAATAAACGCATTAACGCAACGTTTACATTGTCATAACGCAGATAAATAATAATATATTTTATGTCAGTTTCATTTGAAGTACTTAATAAAAATATAAGGAATATACAATATTTTATATTCTGCTTAATATACATGTGTAATATATACGTATAGACATATATACTGACAGGTGTTACAATCGAAGCGTTAATTCAGTAAAGATATACACTTACTGTAGTTTGCTAATGTATACATTCACTAAAGTTACACTTTGACTGTGATATAAAAAAACATATATGCTTTATACAACGTTTTAGTACAATTAATACGTAATATGTATCTCACATTCTCGATTATATGGTATTGCTATGTTGGAAGAACATAGATACATAAAGATTGTTATTAGGTCTAGATTAAAATGGCAAACAAAACGGCAATCGATTTTATATGCATTGTAGAGAAAAATATACTTATATTGTACAAATCATGATATGAATGTAGGAAGATCAAGTGTAGAAAAATTTTAACATAAAAAATATTAAGTGAAAATATTCCCGTGTTTTTATTACGTAATGTAATATGATTTTCAAAAAATTAGTATTAAAATTCAATGAGACAATGTACCTTTGGTTCTCATTTTCAATGGGATAAATTAAAAAAACTATATTTCTTCTGTGATTAAATAAAAATACCATAAAGGCTCACTAATCATTAACGTTTTAATATATAAAAAGTAATCTTGTTTTATAAAAATTAACTATAATTATTTAAAATTACTTATAACAATCACTTAGTTATTAAAAAAATAGATATAATAGTAAGAGTAAATATAATCAATCTCATTTTTGATTATGTCTAAAGCCAGCTCTAATCATAGATAAGTACATAATTATTTAAAATAAAATAATATAGATGTAATAAAATAATAGATTGCGTGACGGAGAAGATAATTTTACATATTCGCAGGTATAAAAATCTCAATATGACAAGCATAAAAATGTATGATTAATTTCCTACTGATATAATATGTTAAGACATTGGCTCAGTGTGTGCAAAGTGGTATGCGCCATAGCTTTGAGAACTAAGAGATCAGAGTCCAGATGCAAATCCGAGTTTTCAATAGATTGTGCTAGGGCAAGATTGTGCTTCTCCACCTTTCTTAATTGTTCCTGGCAATTGGCAAAGGCATCCAACACTTCCAGTTTAACGACAGGATTTCTACTTGAATTCCCAGAATGTTCTCGTGGTGGTAATGGAGGATGGCTGCTGGCTATCGCTCTAGTATACATTTCTGTGACTGCTCGTAACTTATCCACCCATTCCTGACGTGCTCGTGCATCTGTGGCCCGTAATTTTATCATGTCACCTGAAAAGATATTGAAAACTCAATAGACATATTAAATCAATCATCCATATCTATTATAAGAAAAACAATCAGCAATGAGATTTGATTTAATCAGATATTTACCAGTAGCAGAATTCACAGTGAAAGTGTTAGAATCTTCATCACTGGGGGCTATTACAGCTCCTGCTAGGTATATCGAACACCGTGGTCTCTGATTCTTCTCAGACTCGCTGAGAAAGTAATGCAGCTCGCCGGTTTCTGGGCTCAAAATAAACCAACGATACTGCCAACCCTTCATGGCATTTGTATATTTGTGCAGCAAACCCTCATAAGGATGTCTCGTTTGCACGTTCATTGTTTATTACTCTCACTTTTTAGTTGGAAGCCTTTTATTTAGTTGATGAATGGCAAGAATCTCGCGGGAGATATGTCATCTGAGTTAAAGCGATTGTGCTCAGCTGATGTCTAGAGAGAGAGGTTAGGTTATCGTAAAAAAAAAAAGAAAAAAAGATTCCGTCATCTGTTGCAATTTATTGTCACGCTGTGCATGGCGGAAGAAGACATCACGACTATAAATACGCAGTAATTGACATTTTTACATATTCTATCGTCTCATTTACAATCAATTCGATACTTCTTCAATCTTACAAATAGTTGTGAATATTTTTCCATAAAATTCTCCTTTATGCGAAACAATGGGTGCGTTACACGTGCAAATCAACGATTAAGGACTACTCGCCGAACAATTAAACATTATTGATTATAATTGGTTGGATCCACAGATAAGAATCACTCATGTATGCTCATTCGTTCAGCAAGTATACCTAGCTGTTTTGTTGACTTGAACTCGTCCAATGACGTTATATTATTTGGTACGAAATATATATTATTTATATACTACAATAATGGATGCATCCAGAAGCACGACCGCTCATTGAGCTCTTGTACCTGTTTGGTTTATATTTTTAAATCTCATGGAATATGTCAATCGGATATAAAAGCTCACTGAGCAGTCGTGCTTCTGGATGCACCTAACATATATAATATTCATATACAGGGTGTTTGAGAAGTAATTAATGAAAAATTTTGTCGCATAGGGGTAGATGGACTAAGCTGAGAAGAAAAGTTCTCTACCATTTTACAATTTTCGCAATAAGTAACGAGATATTAATTTATAAAAATATCCAAATTCGTCCGGTTCACCGCCAAATGCAAGCGCGCGACGCACTTCGCTGCGCGATCGTATTTGCCGGTGGACCGAATTTGGATATTTTCATAAATATCTCGTTAACTATTGCGAAAATTGTAAAATAGTATAGAGGACCTTTCTTCTCAGTCTAGTCCATTCTACCCTTATGCGACAAAATTTTTCATTACTTCTCAAACACTCTGCATAGAGAAAAATAATTCTACGAGAGAAAATGCTTTGTTTATTTTATTAAGAAAAAAATACAGCCTCTTTTATTTTAAACTTACATATCCATAGCAAAAAAGAATATATTGTCTTCGCAAATATAAAATAAACATGGAAATAAAACTAGTCCTCGAGAAACAAAATATGATAACAATATACTGAAATCATAAAATAAAAAAGTTATGTAAGTTAAATAATAATCAAATATATAACTATTCACTGTTTATAAAAAAACATGAATGACAAATACGATCAAATCCTTAAGACCAAAAATGATCTTAATTGTATACAAGATCACACATAATCTATAAAATACGTAAATTAAAAGTTTTACGAAGACTACAAGAGACCATGTTCAATTAGCGCAGCACGAATTTCTGGCAATTCAATTTCATAACAGCCGTCATCAGATTGGACAATTTTAATTTTGATGGGTGTATTGTCCACTACTAATTCCTTTAATTTATTCTGTACTGCTTCCGAATATTTTCCATTACCGTCGATTGGTGCTAAATCTAGAGCAAACAATAGATAAGTTCGCAAATACTTGAAGAATCTTACCTTTAACTTAGTAACAACTTTGATACTCACTGACAACTGAACAAATACTCGCAAATGCTTCAGGCAAAATGAAGTCTTTGGGCATTAACCTTATATTCTTATGCTCTACTATTTCTATATTACCATAATCAATAAAAAAAATTTCAGCTGTCATGTACGATTTCTTAGGATTGAGACATGCTGCTCGATACCACGCCCCATCGTACAGTGCTACACATAATTCTTCCTTTCTTGGAAGATAATAATCATTTTTCTCAGCATATTCTTTCAACTGCAATAAAATAAGATTATATGTTATTGTGCAATAATAAACACTTCATAATAACACATTATTTTACCATTTTCGGCATCTCTTCCAAATGAGTTATCAAGTCCACATCGAGAGGACCCATCATATATGATGTTACATCCTCCCGTTGATATACTACCATAGCATTCACTGTTTCACCGACACGTCCCAAAATTGCTGTTTTGATGTTATTCAACATGTAGCATGTGTTATCTAGGTATATAAAAAATTTCTAAGTTACATTTTTTTTATAAAACGTAAAATATACATGTATTTTAAGTTATAATAGCAAAATATATATACATAATAAAATGATCAAAATATTTATAGTACTAAGAAAAACGTTAATACATCGACCAATTTTTTATTGAATAAAAATGATCTTGCAGGTTAACATTTTTAAGGGATCTCTCACATTAAGGGAATTAATACTGAAAGATAATTAAATGTAATATGATGTACTTAAATTCTTTGTATAAATTGTGATGACAAACAAATATAAAGTTATTTTCTATAAATATAAATTTGTACCATCATTGTTTTCTTTTTTCCATCCTGGAATTAACAGCTGATTTATTTTATCATTAACACATTCTCCTGTATCAAGAATCGTCAAACGAACTCCATCTTTGGCTGAACTCTCGAATGTACATACTAGGGGTACTTCTGTGCCTGATAAATGACGAAGATACATGTCAACATCTTGGTTCATGGGCACGTCACGAGGTACATCTTTTAAGATTACTTTTACTGCACAGCTTTGTTGCTATAAAAAATATATAAACTTTTTTATATTCAAATAACATGTATTTTTTAAATAAAATAGAAATAATTTTATTTTGGATCAAAATGGATATTAATGTTTAATAATACTAAATGCAAATTTTTTGCAAATATATTATTTTAATTTTATACTGTAAATATAACTTTTTTATTATCTTAACATACATCAGTACCTGTGAATGACACGGCATGACTTTAAGATTTTTTGTATCAATTTCAGTTATATTACCAAAATCAATATATACTATCTTAACTTTATTATTCTGTGTCTTTTTAAGTACCATTGCACGATAACTGTTACCATCTTCTTCGAATGGCGCAATCACTATTTCTCCATCAAGTGGAGGCTCAGTTAGGTTTGGTGCTGCAATCAAGTGAAAAAAGTAATTTGCAATTTCTTCATATAATTGTCATTCTCATTATTATTTATTTAGTTATTTTACCTGTTTGTGCATATTGTGCAACAGATTGCATAACGTTATTATAATGTTCTACATCTGCTTCTTCTAAAGACCGTGCAAACATATAATAATAATTTCGATAACTTGTAAGACATATCTGAAATCAGTCAACAAAAACAATGAAACTCCAATTCATGTCAATAATGAAAATATACTGATATATTATCATTTATTTACTACAAAACATAACTTAATTAAAAAATTATCATTTTTACATTTGCAAAAAAAGACAAAAACATTTGAAACTACATATTTTTATTCCTCTACAATTAGTTTTTACATTATTAATTGTATTAAAAAATTTTAAATAAACTTATTTTCTGAAAAACTTCGTTTTTTTTATGTTGTAAATAAGTGATGTTATACCTTAGATCCACTCTTTAACTCAAATAAATTTGATGAATTTGTCAATTTCCAGGTCTTCAGTACAGCCTGTATCACTTCAGAGTTCACATGCATTTGTATTTCGAGACTTTGTTTGCTGCTCTTCTCACTTGAAATTGATGTACACTCGTAACTGCTATCCATCTTGTAACATAACAAAGTAAGAATCTATATCTGTATCTGTATAAAACTTGTATATATTTGTATACAAAATATTTCAAAAGCACCTACTTCTAATTTGACAGTAGAATTTATTTCACATATTACTCCAAAAGCACAAATATTCGAATATTTTTTAGGACATGGTACAATTTCAGTTACTTGTAAAATTCTTGTCTCGTCTATTGCAAAGATGGACTGGGGATGTGTCGAAATATATCCTCTGTACCAGCTTCCATCCCACTTACCGCAAACCAATTCTCCTACTTTTGGTCTAAAAAATAAAATACTTCAAATAACATAAAAGTTTTATCGGTTTGAACTAAATCGTAGACTGATATCCATAACCGATTCATATATTTAAGTCTCATAAGTAAGACAGTCTTAATTTTAAACTTTAAGACAGTCCTAAAATGTCATAAGCTAATCCAAGGATCTCTTATGGGCCTTCTACAATAAGCCATAAGTCATAAATCGGAAGTAAGAAACTAAAAATTGACGACTGTGATTGATCCATTTCTAGCTTATGACTTATGATTTGTGACTTACGGCTTATTGTAGAAGGCCCATTATTATTAGCATCTTAAGACATGACTTAAGACAATTCTGAAACAAGAATAGACTATAAATACCAGCCTTAATGCTCAAATATTTCACGGTATAAATTTATATACATATTCAGTTCTACAACTATGCACTCATTAACAATCTCTTTAAACGCAATCTTAAATCAAACTGAGGCAGTAATATCACAAATTAAATTAACAAGTAATTTGATAAGACTAATGCTAACAAGTATCTAAAAAAAACTACAAATAATCTAATGTTAATTAACATCTTAAAAAGCTGTGAACTTATGAAAAATATCACGTCAGCCAATATGGAACTTCCCATATTTTATGTGATGAATATTTTATTAACTAATTCGATTAAGGCTATCGTAACATTTTTTGTCGCAATAACAAGTATATGTAACATTTGTTAAAAGTACGTGAAATAAACAAAATGCTATAAGACTACAATGTAAATACAATAAAGACAAATAAAATACCCTATATTTACATGGAAAAATCCATTTAATGGGTTATCTTCCCTAAATTTTCTAGAATAGAAATAATTACAATTTACAGTAAAATAATTTCAAATTTACTTCCCGAGTATTAAAAAAAAAAAGAGGATTTATAATGAATATTAATGATAAAATTTACAAAAAATTTATTTGGAAAAGAAAAAGAATTGAAAGTTCTAAAAAGATTTTTTGAAAATCTAAGACGGCTTGCTATTATAAATGTAAGTTTTTCTAATTCGAAATATCAATTTACCATTTTTTAAACAAAATGAAATAAATTACTAACTTAAATATGTATATATAATTTACTTCTAGAAATTATTTAAAGTAATATAAAATTAAAGAAGTCCAATAATCCATATAACTCAATTACTCTCCTCCTTCGAAAGAGACATAAGTATATTAATTTACTAATTTATTTTAGTTTTTCTTAAAATTGTAAACTAATACTTTTTTAAATAACAAAGTCTCAATTCTAATTAGTCCCCATCCTAAACAAAATTCTGGTTACATTCATGCCTATTTATTCCAATTTATGTTTAATGATATTCAGCAAATATTAAAAAAATTTATTGTATTTATAAATTTTGCATATACATACATGTAATCTGCAAGTACTTGTATCTTTGAACATTCGTCTTGTATGTCTTCTAAGACCATCTTTATTTCAGTACTAAAAACTTGTGGAAAAAAAGTTGCATTGTAAACATTTTTTTGTGTAGACTCAAAAATTTGTATAAAAGCGTTAATTTGCAATTCTGAATTGTGTTGTCTCAAATCAGCCAAGGCATCTAAAACGCTAGGTATTTGTTGAATCATCGTGGAAGCATTTGTACTTTTATTATTTGGTAATATATCAACATTTTTTTGTGGCACAAATTTTTTCTTTGCACCATTTGAAGCACTTTCTGTATGTGAAGATAAATTCTCTGCAGTGGATTGCTCTTCTTCTACATCTACTACTATTGTTTTATCATAATTTTTAGACAACATTTTAACAGAAATTTTCTCGCCAGACTGTAGATTTCTATATTTATCGCTTGTACCTTGCGCCAAACGAATTTTTCTAGCAAACTTAGGAAATTTTATCAGGTCACCAATATCTTTGATTTCACTATTTTTTTCTAGTATCTCATCGTTTCCAAAGTCAATAAAATGGACCTTAGTAGGATTCAGTGATGTTATTATAGCTCTTTGCCAAATAGTTTCATATAAAACGCCGTAAACTTCACCAATAATCGGCTGTACATTACGCGATTTTTTTGCGACATCTTGTAAATTCATCATTAAGTTCGTACGTGCATCTATATCCTCTAATTTGCATATCCAATACTCATCATTATCTAGTGATATTATAACTTGTACAGCTAAAAATTTTGTTTTTGACAACTGTGTATCTTTATAAAAAGCTAAATCATTGTTCACACACACTGAAGTATTACTGGAAAAATTTCCTTGTCTACTGGTATTTTCTCTGTCATTATAATCAGCAGAACCTTTATTGTTTTGGAAGCTATTCCTTTGAGGAGGAAAATTTCTATCATTATTGGAAGTTCTATCTCTTATATTGCTATTATCATATCTTTCTTTAAAATCAGTCGTTTTTGAATTATTTCGGTAATTATGGTTATGTTGATTTCGGTCAATGAAGCTAGATGATGGGGGACATCCATTACTTATTTTCAATTGATCAGTACTCTCATTAGTATTATTATATCCGCGCAATCGATGCTGTTGAGAAAATTCTTTAGTGTTTGTAGCATTTACTACAGGCTGATCTGCCACTTTAGTTTGAAATTCATTAATATCATCACATTGAGCAGATACAGATTTATCCTGAATATGGTTGATAGACTTACAAGTAACTTCTATATTAGTTTTATGCTCATTGATATTTGCACTCGTATTATTCGAGTTTTCAACTTTCATCATATTAAATGTATTAGGCCGTCGTAATTTTACATCACCAGTTTTAGCTATTTTCTCAACATTTGGGGTTGACGTCCTTTTTATTTGATTTGTATCTTGATTAATTTGCAATGATGATATATCAACTTCTTCCACTAATGCCCTAAAAAAAAATGTACAATATATCTAAAAAAATGTATAATTTTAATTTTTGACAATTAACAAAATAAATCAAAATAAATGATTTTTAATATATATATATATAATTTATCTGTTTTGTTAACATACTAATTGATGATAATGAAAAAGTAGGAATATATGAAAAAAAAGAAAATTTTTGCAATACAAAAAAGAGCAGATATGTAAAAAAAATTTATTTTACTGCATAAAATTAAATGTGTGAGTTTATGGATATATAATTATATACATTTTATCATATATGTATATAATTTATAAATATATAAGTTTAACATGAATATATAAGTATGTATGTATGTATAAATATAATTACGGAATACGTTCGCATTTAGCCTGATGTTGCGGCCAATCTTCCAATTGACAAGCTTTGCTGCAATAATATGTACAGCATTTTTCACAATGTGTTGTTGTCTTTGTAGAACAAACAGAACAGTTTTGCACTTCATTCTTAAATTTGTCTTTAGAATATTCATATAATCCCTATACAACAAACAGTTACAACTAAGTAATTTTTTAATAGCAAATTACATTAATAAATGTACTAAACATATAACGTAATTTTTCAAATTTTATAATTAATTTTATATTCGCGTAATTCCATACATTTTTTCGTTGTTGATATACTTTTAAAATACAGTCTTCGATCTTAGGATATGATTCTGGATACTCATACAGTGTGTAACCACGTCCAAGAGAAACATGTCTTTTTCCATCAGGTGTAACAGTTACTACACCTCTAAAATAAAAAAACTATGTAAAATACAATAGTTTAAATAATGATTGAATATAAATAATTGTATTTATTTAACCTTGTCCACAATTTATTACTACTCATGTAAGGATCCTCCATTTCATAAATATCATGTGTTTGTAAACATGAAGGCAAAGATGATAATGATCCACAGTTTGCAAAATTAGTTGGTACTGTCAAATGTGGCATTACATGCTTACGAAATACATGCGTTGATTGACCACGGCCCATACTTTGACTAAAATAATACGTATTACATATTATACATATAATTACACTGTCACACTAAATATGTGTGAAAATATATCTTTTTTATAATAATTACTTCAACATTATAACAATAACATTATAGTAATAATAATAATGATTATGCTTACTATTTTAAATCACTATAAATAGGTGACGGTGAATCTGTAGTATTTATCACCTTCGGTTTCTCAAAATATACTTCTTCTTTTGTAGATTTATCTTTTGCAAGTGCCACTTTCAGGCATAATGGTCTTTTTTCGTGGAGTTCTCGCATAGCAAGTTCAGCTTCACGATATGTTCCATATGTAACATAGGCCCATGTGGCATTACGAGGATAGAACATTTCCTTAATTTTGCCATACTGACTAAAAATATCTCTGATACCATCCTTAAAAATTATTAGAATTCATTTTAAATAATAAATATATCTCACAATCTCATTATAAATATATAATATTTGATCGGTTTATAGATGTCAAAACGTTCATTTACATAATTTTTATTATTATATTTTTACTTTATAAGATTTATCTTTATTTTTATATTTTAATTTTTGACTTGTAGCCTTTCTAATTTATTTTGAATCTTTTATTGAGCCACATTATTATTTATAATATTGATTTGCAAAATTATAGCCAATAATATAATTTATACATTAGTATGTAAGTTATACAATATTATATTTATTTGCTATAATATATACAATAATATATAATTTATACAATAGTATGTAATTTATACAAAATTCAAAAATTGTTTCAATAAAAACCATAAACGGTTTAAAATTAATTCTAATTTATAATTAAATAAATTAATAGATTTTACCTCATTTAACTCTATTGGTAAATTTGTCACATATATCGTATATTCGGCATCCATCCTGTAAATAAATAATGTAAAATATAAAAATATTATGCACAAGATATAAATTTTTACAAATTATGCTCATTCTGTTAGTATTGTTCTATTAAAAGATACAACTATGATATAAAAGTAAAAATAATAGTTAAATACAGGACTCAATATATAAAAAGTTGTAATATAAAAGGACAAGTAAGAGTCAAATAAATAGAAACAATTTAATAAAAATTCAAATAAAAGTAATGAGATACAATGATCAAATTATAAATTTTACTATAACAAATTAACATAACATGTTTCAGTTGTATGATTCAGCCCTCTTCAGATATACAAATAAACTTATATAACAAAAATCTATCTTATAATACAAAATGCAAAATCGATATAAAGTTTAGGTATGCTATTTTAAAGAAAATAGATGCGATGAACATTCTGGACAAGATAAAATCTTCTTTGTTCACCAAACGATTGAATGATCGATTGAAACAGTGTTCCACCATAATAGAAAAAAAATGTTTATACATTTTAAGTAAAGAATGAGGCTACGCAGCATTCCATAAAACATGCTTAGCTGTTAAAAACTATAATCGATATAAAAGTATTGCATAAAACAAATTCATAATTTCAAAGATGCATATATAATTTACTGATGCCTCTCGAGTTACACAAGTATGTATATTATGCAAATATTTAATATAAAGATTTCTTTTATTGTGCAATGTATCATTTCAAGCAGATTTATTTATCTAACACACGCTTTTTTTGTTCTTACCGATCAATACCCGGCATTTGGTCGGCATCCGTATGACCATCGTAGTACGCCATGTTATACACGCTATTTATTTCTTACTTGCGAATTTGTAAGTGATCAAGATTCTCTTCGTTTTTACAGTAACAGCAAAGGTATAAAATCTTTTGCGTAGACTGTTCTATTAATCAGCGAATGGAGAATGTAATTCTTCATCACACACAAGGTCTCAGAATAAACAACAAAGGACACCGGTTGATCTGCAAAAGCGGCACGTTAACACAACGTAACGAAGTTAGAGATACGTAGATAAACAATATATCGTATATTCGGCATCCATCCTGTAAATAGATAATGTAAAATATAAAAATATTATGCACAAGATATAAATTTTTACAAATTATGCTCATTCTGTTAGTATTGTTCTATTAAAAGATACAACTATGATATAAAAGTAAAAATAATAGTTAAATACAGGACTCAATATATAAAAAGTTGTAATATAAAAGGACAAGTAAGAGTCAAATAAATAGAAACAATTTAATAAAAATTCAAATAAAAGTAATGAGATACAATGATCAAATTATAAATTTTACTATAACAAATTAACATAACATGTTTCAGTTGTATGATTCAGCCCTCTTCAGATATACAAATAAACTTATATAACAAAAATCTATCTTATAATACAAAATGCAAAATCGATATAAAGTTTAGGTATGCTATTTTGAAGAAAATAGATGCGATGAACATTCTGGACAAGATAAAATCTTCTTTGTTCACCAAACGATTGAATGATCGATTGAAACAGTGTTCCACCATAATAGAAAAAAAATGTTTATACATTTTAAGTAAAGAATGAGGCTACGCAGCATTCCATAAAACATGCTTAGCTGTTAAAAACTATAATCGATATAAAAGTATTGCATAAAACAAATTCATAATTTCAAAGATGCATATATAATTTACTGATGCCTCTCGAGTTACACAAGTATGTATATTATGCAAATATTTAATATAAAGATTTCTTTTATTGTGCAATGTATCATTTCAAGCAGATTTATTTATCTAACACACGCTTTTTTTGTTCTTACCGATCAATACCCGGCATTTGGTCGGCATCCGTATGACCATCGTAGTACGCCATGTTATACACGCTATTTATTTCTTACTTGCGAATTTGTAAGTGATCAAGATTCTCTTCGTTTTTACAGTAACAGCAAAGGTATAAAATCTTTTGCGTAGACTGTTCTATTAATCAGCGAATGGAGAATGTAATTCTTCATCACACACAAGGTCTCAGAATAAACAACAAAGGACACCGGTTGATCTGCAAAAGCGGCACGTTAACACAACGTAACGAAGTTAGAGATACGTAGATAAACTGAGATAAACACGTAAAAAGGAAAATAAAAATGGATAAAAAAAATGTCGTAAGGCCGGCACCTTTATATAGTATCTACATGAAAGAGAACGCAAAAGAAATATGATTTGAATGGACGAATCGGAATTTTCCAACTTAGCAATAAACGGTTGTGTCTAAAGCCTGTTCTACAATGGGCTGTAGTGGATTAAGGAGGCGCGGTCCACTTGGCGTCAGGGCCTCCAAACTGGCCGTAATGCTGATTCACACTGCATCCGATTTTTCGTCGTACGACGACTCTGCAACCAATCAGGAAACAAAATTTTGCTTCGTATCGATGATACGATTTTTCTGATTGGTTGCAGAGTCGTCGTACGACGAAAATCGGATGCAGTGTGAATCCAGCAAGTGTGGTGGCACCCGCTTGTCCAAACGCAATCGCACGACTAACATGGCGTGTCCAGCCAACCACAACATCGCCTCGAGTCGACCAATCGAGCGACGCACAGACGCAACCGGCAGTCGCATTGCGCAAGCCGCGAAAAATAAGGAGGAAGCCGCCATAATTTTTCCAACACTCTTTGTTTTGTGTCGCGACTTGATCCACATATACGAGTACCGAGAAGCTAACGTGAATTAGTTTTATATCATATTGATTAGATACTTATCGTATCAGAGGCCTTTGTATAATAAAAATAAAACGTGTTGTTACATATTAAACGATAATCGCTGTGACTAGTATTCATCCCAGTTTCCGCGCGAATATCACTTCCTCGACAGTCGACGACGCCATACCAGCGTTATATAGTAGCGCCTCTATAATATATTCTCCATATAAATGAACTAAATGCATGGATGCATAAGTACATGTCGGTAAAAAAGTCGGTTTTTGGAGCTTGAGTGAGGCGGACCTGTTTCGTGTTTTCTTTCAGTCTTGTTGCATCATCCGTCTTGGACGGACCTTTGACTACATCAAAGTAGAGACCATCTAATCAGAGTCGCGAAATAACGTTGCCAATTTTGATTGGTGCTGACATTTTTCAGCAAAAACCGGAAATAGTCATGGCGTCAAATTTAAGTCGACCTACATTCACTGCCCATTTTGCTCTTTTTTTCAGGATTACGAGGAAAGACTTTCATAATATAACCCTTTTTTGCAGAATTGTTGCAGTCTGGCGCAGAACAACCAGTCATTTTAGAAAATATAATTTTATGAAATACAGTATTAATATAAAATATATAATAATGTAATTTCTTTCTGATAACTGTATTTAGATTCACATGTATTAGGTATTAATGTATCACAATCATAGTCTTTTCATTGCAACTGCGATGGTGCTCGTACGTGCAGTAGTATTAAGCCCATTCTACATTGGTCGTATCGTAGGCGTCGCAGGTCACAAATTTGTTGCAACAGCCAATCCGATGTGTCAATTAGAAGTCTCACGACGCTTACAATGCTACGATACGACCAATGTAGAATGGGCTTAAGATAAGTAGATGTTGAGCATTTCCTCACAATTCCGCCAATTCCACGTGTCCGAAGCCATCATGGCTATTTCCTTTTCGCAATGAGGATAAAGGTGGCTTTACGAACGGTATTCAAAATCCAATTTTATATTCAAGATCATCTTAAGTCTGGTCATGGATAATTTATTTAGCCTAGTTTAAAATCAGAGCGTACAATGCTTTAAAACGTCATTAAGACATTTTTTAAACAGATACTTATCTGAACGATGGCGGAAAATCTTTGAGACATTTCAAGTTTGGACATATAGATGTCCTTGTTTATCCTGTAGGTTAAACAAAGACACTTATCGTATAGGTCGCGGACTAAGCGCACGGTATAAACGTAGTCACCGTTTGGAAAGAATCTATTCAGCCAATGAAATAACTATTAAGATCGAAATCGGGCTTTGCATACCGTCTTCCGTCGTCAGTCTCTTATTAGGGATTAATAACCTTTATTATTGTGTAGTTGTACTCACTCTGCTGCTTCTTCTTTAGATAGAAATGACATCAGTCCCCGGAGCAACCAAAAGGAGAGGGGGATTAATACAAGTACTCTGTTGCTAAATGAAAAACAAATTGTTAAAAAAAACAAATGCCTATTTAACGAAACAGTTTCGTATTGTGAATGAAACGCATATTCTTTTTCACCTTTTCTCGATGATGGAACTCTATTCACGAGAGCTACTGTCACGATTTAGAACAATCTATAAAGTTAACTCATTCAATACCTTGGTTGAATGGCCTAGTTTATATCGTGCACTTAATACAAGTGCCATACTTATAACTAGTAACATTCCATTCATTGCTGTTTGGACTTGTCACGTGACACTAAAGCGAGTAGAGCCCCAACACAGACTTTTGCATAACGCATAAAGCATGTGCATAAGGAATTTCATTGGCCCATTTTCTTATGCATGAGTCAATGGACCAATCAAATTCTTTATGTATATGGTTTATGCAAAAGTCTGTGCTCCCCGCTTAAGACTTAAAAGCTTAGGTAATAGTTTATTGTAGAAAATCTATTACAACTATAATCGCAATTTTATGGAAAAAAAAAAAAGAACGCGTATTCTTTAGCACGGATTGCTCGCGCACTAACGCACTTGGGTAAAGTTTCCAAACGCAAACCGGACCGGAGGTTTCGTTGATCGATGTCCTTGAGAGGTAACGTCGTCGTGCTTTTTTCCGCACGCACGATGAATAACAGAGTGACAATTCTGCGCCAATTCTGCGTCAAGTTGCAGAACGAACGTAGGAAGATGCGCGCGTTTTTGCAGATGGAGGGAAACAGCAGCGCACGATTGGTCGGCGCTCCGGACTGGTCGACATTCGTTCGCGAGACGTGTCATGTGACCCGTTCTTCTATTTATGCAAACATCACCGATCACTCAGCCCCCGCAGTCTCGTGGCAAAACAATAACAAACAATACTTGTCGTCGCTTCTCCGTGTTTCGAGCGATTTCTCGTCCGATTTCTCGCGCGATTCTCTCGTGGGTCGTTTTCGTACGTGCAACGAAAAGTCCGTAGCACGAGATTTACGGTAATTCGCAGGATCATAGCCGTCCTCGAGCGCGATCGAGAATCTTCTCGCTTTCGTGAAACCCGTCGCGCGGGCGCCACGCGAGTCGAGTCTACTCCCGACGACTCGGGGGGGAAGAAAAGTGAAACTCGTCTGGCCTCGTCGCGAGATGCTGTCAGCTGCGGAAAATGTCCACCGTGTCTACTGACGAGAGACACGCGATGCGTGCGTCCTGTGTGCGCGCGTGGACCAATATGTGATTTTCGGGCTGTGCACATTGTCGTTCTTTCCGAGCAAGTCAGCTCCTGTTTACCAACGACTTTGGCAGAAAAGCCGTTCTCCCTCGTGGTCGTCTGTGCGCGAGGCCACGCGAGGCCACGCGAGGCTGCGAATCACCGCGAATCACTAGCGAATCGATGGAGCGATACGAAGAGTGGAGTAATTAAAATCAGTAAAATCTGTAAACGATGCAACTTGCTCAGCGAGCGATAAGTCGCGCGCGTTTTCTCTCTCTCTCTCTCTCTCTCTCTCTCTTGTTGTTGTTATCGTTCCGCTGTAACAACACGCTGTAATAACGATCGTTTTCGTCTGCAACGATATTCATCTCTGATACATCCGAAGTCAAACGACGAATAGATCGAGCTTGAACGATTTATTTTGTTCAGAAAACTTTTGTGTTTCGT